CTCATGTTCTCCTCAGAAGCAGTCACCTCACTCCCCTCAGGTTACTGTACACATGCACCAACTGCCTGCTTCAGGTTTGGATGGAGCTTCATGGTTGTCTTTTGGAGAAATGACCAGTCAAGTTGTGTTTGAAATTTGATTTTTTTCAGGGGCAAAAGGAGCCTCTGCATTCTTGTCAAATATGTAAATAGCATGTTTTTGCAGGTGCTAAAAACCAGACTCTGAGTGTGTGTGTGTGTGTGTGTGTGTGTGTGTGTGTGTGTGTGTGTGTGTGTGTCTGTGTGTGCGTTCAAGTCACATGACATATTTAACCGGATGTAGCTGCAAGACGGAGCCTCGTTGACTCTCCGTTTCAACTTATCTCAAAAGTGAGGACCTCAACCTATATACCAGTTTTTAAATTGTGTTGATAGGCCAAATAAAACCAGAGTTATGATAAATTATGTCCGCGATACTTTTCTTCTGCTTATTTTGATCACGTTCGGCGCTCGATCGCGCTGTATGAGACAGGAAAACATAGCATGCAGACATTAGCGACAGGTCTTACAGGCGGAAAAGGCTTGCCAAAAGAAAAAAAAAACACACCACAACATCTCTCCTATTGGTGGAAAACTTCACCACAACAACCAATCCAAAATTATATGGTGACTGATTGACAAGGGGCGGGCGCTTACGTTCTTCCTGCAACATGAGAAGGGAGGGAGGGACTCTCAGCAGGGATGCAGTCTGGGACACGTAGTTGCAAACCTAGCGACTTTGTTGTTAGATTCAATGACTTTTCAGACCCCCTAACGACTTTTTTTTAGAAAGAAAGGGACTTTTATCGACTTCTTCTGGAGTTTAGAGACTCTGACATGAAGCAGGCTTTCCTTACTGAGGAGTTAGCAACGCTGCTAAGGGTGCAGAGCCACACATGCGCTCAGAGCTCTGCATGGGAGACTGAAGCTGACAGAGCTGCAGCAGTTAGCAGGTTTCACCCTCAGAGACCACCAGGGGTTCATGTTGAGGCATTTTAATTTTTTTTTTTTTTTGTGCCATAGACACTGTCAGCACAATCTGCAGTTACACTAACAAAAATGCTGCAAAAAACAAAGAATTATGGAAAAATTACACATGGACTGACATAGAGGAGGATCTACACAAGTTTTTTACATCATGTTTTACATCATGCATCATTTACATCATGTTTTTTTGTAGTGGCATAAATAAAAAGTGACATTTGTGAGACTATACAGTGTTTTGTAAATAATTTTACAAAGAACGCCTGGGCCATTGCCTGCATTTTGATGTAAATAGAGGTAAATCACTATGTTCTTTGTTAAAAATTTGCATATGTTTTGAAGTTTACAATTTTTATTTGAAGTTTAAGTTTTAAAAACAGTTCATCACACATATTTGTGGTTTTCACAGTAAAAATGTTACTTTTTTCCACTCGGATTTTATGTTTTGTGTGTGAATTTGGGTCCATTGTGTAAATTCAGTATGTCAACATGATAAAATAACTGTAAATTCGCACAGGTGAGGTTGTGCTGAAAAAATGATACCAGGCAAGGCACGTGATTGTCAAATTTTGTGTCAATATGACAAAGCGTATAGGCGTGAATCTCAACAATATGTATTTTCACCTTAGGGGACAAGAAAAAATTGACTTTTTTCTCCTGCCATGGGGGGGCGCTCTTTTGGGGAGTAAAAATTCCTTCACAAATGTGTTGATGGCTGGACATTGCATCATCCTAGAAAACTTGGAGGCCGGTGAGGACAAAAATAAAAAGTTATAAGACTTTTAAATATGTGGATTTTAGGGTTGTCTTTGGCGCCCCCTAGAACCTAAACCGTGGGGTGCAGCGTCATGATTTGAATAACTTTTAATGGCCACGGGGTGTAGATTGGCCTGAGCAAATGTGGTGCCGGTGGACAGAAAGCCTTCGGAGGAGTTAGCGAAATTCCAATGTGTGCGGATCGGCAAAAAATGCGGAATAACCCTTTAACCGTACATTTGACAGATACGCGCGCACTGACTTTTTCGTAGATCTTATTGAGTTACACGTGTGTGTCAATTTTTGTGTCATTTTGACAAAGCGTATAGGCGTGACACTCAACAATGTGTATTTTCACCTTAGGGGACAAGAAAAAATGGACTTTTTTCTCCTGCCATGGGGGGGCGCTCTTTTGGGGAGTAAAAATTCCTTCACAAATGTGTTGATGGCTGGACATTGCATCATCCTAGAAAACTTGGAGGCCAGTGAGGACAAAAATAAAAAGTTATAAGACTTTTAAATATGTGGATTTTAGGGTTATCTTTGGCGCCCCCTAGAACCTAAACCGTGGGGTGCAGCGTCATGATTTTGATAACTTTTAATGGCCATGGGGTGTAGATTGGCCTGAGCAAATGTGGTGCCGGTGGAACGAAAGCCTTAGGAGAAGTTAGCCACATTCCAATGTGTGCGGATCGGCAAAAAATGTGGAATAACCCTTTAACCGTACATTTGACAGATACGCGCGCATTGACTTTTTCGTAGATCTTATTGAGTTACATGTGTGTGTCAATTTTTGTGTCATTTTGACAAAGCGTATAGGCGTGACACTCAACAATGTGTATTTTCACCTTAGGGGACAAGAAAAAATTGACTTTTTTCTCCTGCCATGGGGGGGCGCTCTTTTGGGGAGTAAAAATTCCTTCACAAATGTGTTGATGGCTGGACATTGCATCATCCTAGAAAACTTGGAGGCCAGTGAGGACAAAAATAAAAAGTTATAAGACTTTTAAATATGTGGATTTTAGTGTTATCTTTGGCGCCCCCTAGAACCTAAACCTTGGGGTGCAGCGTCATGATTTTGATAACTTTTAATGGCCACGGGGTGTAGATTGGCCTGAGCAAATGTGGTGCCGGTGGAACGAAAGCCTTCGGAGGAGTTAGCGAAATTCCAATGTGTGCGGATCGGCAAAAAATGCGAAATAACCCTTTAACCGTAATTTTGACAGATACGGCCGCACTGACTTTTTTGTAGATCTTATTGAGATACATATGTGTGTCAATTTTTGTGTCAATATGACAAAGCGTACAGGCGTGACAGTCAATAGTGTGAATTTCCACCTTAGGGGGCGCTATGGAGCCATTTTGCATTTTATTGTTTGGGCGACTTCAGAATATCGAATTTTTCACCAGGCCCGGTCGTCCTGCCAAATTTCATGAGTTTTCGCCAGTGGGAAGTGGGCCATTTTCCAGTTCAAAGGGGAGGAAAAAGAAGAAAGAAAGAAAGAAAGAAAGAAACAAAGAAAAACCACTTGGGGAATAATAGGGCCTACGCCCGGCTGCTCTGCAGCTGGCTCGGGCCCTAATAATAACAAACTAGGGCCCCGTTGGGGCACTGGCGGGCCCGAGCCGTGTCGCGCCGCCCCCCCCCCAACGCGCTGCCTCCCCGTCCCATTCGTGTCCTCTGGCCATCGCCCTCTCTGGTAACGCCCATCACTGCAAAGACCCTTTTCCTTCATCGGCGTTTGCTGTTCTTCCTGCCAGTGCGTGTTGCTTTCACTTACACTTGCCACAGCCAGCCTCGTGAGTGCCTAGCCTATTGGATATCACTGTCATCTACACAGGACAGTCATTACCTTTCTATTAATACTTTGTTTTTTAATTTCACATTAATTTCCATATTGTATAAATGACTGGAAAAAACTTGAGCCCCTGCCCCTGTATAATCATGTGCACGTCCCTGTTCTAGCTCCAAGGTGAATCTTCACTGCTCATGTTCTCCTCAGAAGCAGTCACCTCACTCCCCTCAGGTTACTGTACACATGCACCAACTGCCTGCTTCAGGTTTGGATGGAGCTTCATGGTTGTCTTTTGGAGAAATGAGCAGTCAAGTTGTGTTTGAAATTTGATTTTTTTCAGGGGCAAAAGGAGCCTCTGCATTCTTGTCAAATATGTAAATAGCATGTTTTTGCAGGTGCTAAAAAACAGACTCTGAGTGTGTGTGTGTGTGTGTGTGTGTGTGTGTGTGTGTGTGTGTGTGTGTGTGTGTGTGTGTGTGTGTGTGTCTGTGTGTGTGTATATATCTTGCAGTACTCTGAGAAGAATAATAAGCATATTTCTGCGGTGAATTTTGAAGATTCATCTGAGAGTTAGGAGGGCTGATCATTCCCTTACCCTTTAGATGTCTGTCTATGTCTGTTTTTGTGTGATAATGAAAGAATCCCAACTCAAAAAGGCTCTGTTGATGTTTTTTTTTGTTGTTCATTCATATTCAAACCACTATTTTATATCACTGCTAATACGCCAAGACCATTTTATGGTATTTAGCTTTATTATTTCTATACATTTTGCAAGGAAAGAAACCAAGGCCTTCACTAAAATTTCCATAAACTTTAGGAAAGGACCTCTGGTTGTTTAAGGGGGTCATTACTGCAAAAAAATATTCTTCCTAAATTTTGAAGGTCAAACCTTAGATCCATTAGGTTTAAATAGAAAAAGCATTAAAATATGTTAGGATTATAGCATATGACAAATGTGTGCCTCTCAGTGGCATAACTACTTTGTCTGCTGGCTCTGCAGTCGATTGACGCTCCCCAGCGTTCAAGTCACATGACATATTTAACCGGATGTAGCTGCAAGACGGAGCCTCGTTCACCCTCCGTTTCAACTTATCTCAAAAGTGAGGACCTCAAACTATATACCAGTTTTTAAATTGTGTTGATAGGCCAAATAAAACCAGAGTTATGATAAATTATGTCCGCGATACTTTTTTTCTGCTTATTTTGATCACGTTCGGCGCTCGATCACGCTGTATGAGACAGGAAAACATAGCATGCAGACATTAGCGACAGCTCTTACAGGTGGAAAAGGCATGCCAAAAGAAAAAAAAAACACACCACAACATCTCTCCTATTGGTGGAAAACTTCACCACAACAACCAATCCAAAATTATATGGTGACTGATTGACAAGGGGTGGGCGCTTACGTTCTTCCTGCAATATGAGAAGGGAGGGAGGAACTCTCAGCAGGGATGCAGTCTGGGAAACGTAGTTGCAAACCTAGCGACTTTGTTGTTAGATTCAATGACTTTTCAGACCCCCTAACGACTTTTTTTTTAGAAAGAAAGGGAATTTTATCGACTTCCTCTGGAGTTTAGAGACTCTGACATGAAGCAGGCTTTCCTTACTGAGGAGTTAGCAACGCTGCTAAGGGTGCAGAGCCACACATGCGCTCCGAGCTCTGCATGGGAGACTAAAGCTGACAGAGCTGCAGCAGTTAGCAGGTTTCACCCTCAGAGACCACCAGGGGTTCATGTTGAGGCATTTTCAGTTTTTTTTTTTTTTTTGCCATAGACACTGTCAGCACAATCTGCAGTTACACTAACAAAAATGCTGCAAAAAACAAAGAATTATGGAAAAATTACACATGGACTAACATAGAGGAGGATCTACACAAGTTTTTTACATCATGTTTTACATCATGCATCATTTACATCATGTTTTTTTGTATTGGCATAAATAAAAAGTGACATTTGTGAGACTATACAGTGTTTTGTAAATAATTTTACAAAGAACGCCTGGGCCATTGCCTGCATTTTGATGTAAATAGAGGTAAATTACTATGTTCTTTGTTAAAAATTTGCATATGTTTTGAAGTTTACAATTTTTATTTGAAGTTTAAGTTTTAAAAACAGTTCATCACACATATTTGTGGTTTAATTTCACATTAATTTCCATATTGTATAAATGACTGGAAAAAACTTGAGCCCCTGCCCCTGTATAATCATGTGCACGTCCCTGTTCTAGCTCCAAGGTGGATCTTCACTGCTCATGTTCTCCTCAGAAGTAGTCACCTCACTCCCCTCAGGTTACTGTACACATGCACCAACTATCTGCTTCAGGTTTGGATGGAGCTTCATGGTTGTCTTTTGGAGAAATGAACAGTCAAGTTGTGTTTGAAATTTGATTTTTTTCAGGGGCAAAAGGAAGCCTCTGCATTCTTGTCAAATATGTAAACAGCATGTTTTTGCAGGTGCTAAAAAACAGACTCTGAGTGTGTGTGTGTGTGTGTGTGTGTGTGTGTGTGTGTGTGTGTTGGCGTGTGTGTATATGTGTGTGTGTCCGGCAGTACTCTGTACTCCTGCAGTGGCCAAAAAGACTTTTAAGAATGTGGATTTTTGGGTCATCTTTGGCGCCCCCTAGAACTGCAGTACTCTGTACTCCTGCAGTGGCCAAAATGACTTTTAAGAATGTGGATTTTTGGGTCATCTTTGGCGCCCCCTAGAACCTAAACCATGGGGTGCAGCGTCATGATTTTTACAACTTTGAATGGCCATGGGGTGTAGATTGCCCTGAGCAAATTTGGTATCGGTGGGACGAAAGCCTTAGGAGGAGATAGCCACATTCCAATGTGTGCGAATCGGCAAAAAATGCGAAATAGCCCTTTAACCATACATTTGACATATACGTGCCTATTGACTTTTTTGTAGATCTTATTGAGATACACGTGATTGTCAAATTGTGTGTCAATATGACAAAGTGTATAGGCGTGACACTCAACAATGTGTATTTTTACCTTAGGAGACAAGAAAAAATGGACTTTTTTCTCCTGCCATGGGGGGGGCGCTCTTTTGGGGAGTAAAAATTCCTTCACAAATGTGTTGATGGCTGGACATTGCATCATCCTAGAAAACTTGGAGGCCAGTGAGGACAAAAATAAAAAGTTATAAGACTTTTAAGAATGTGGATTTTTGTGTTATCTTTGGCGCCCCCTAGAAAGTAAACCGTGGGGTGCAGCATCATGATTTGTACAACTTTTAATGCCCATGGGGTGTAGATTGGCCTGAGCAAATTTGGTGCCGGTGGAACGAAAGCCTTCGGAGGAGTTAGCGAAATTCCAATGTGTGCGGATCGGCAAAAAAAGCGAAATAGCCCTTTAACCGTACATTTGACAGATACGCGCGCACTGACTTTTTCGTAGATCTTATTGAGATACACATGTGTGTCAAATTTTGTGTCATTTTGACAAAGCGTACAGGCATCAGGTGAGTTTTCACCATAGGGGGCGCTATGGAGCCATTTTTCATTTTTTGTTTGGACGACTTCAGAATATAAAATTTTTCACCAGGCCCGGTCGTCCTGCCAAATTTCCTGAGTTTTCGCCAGTGGGAAGTGGGCCATTTTCCAGTTTAAAGCGGAGGAAAAATAACGAAAGAAGAATCCATCAGGAACAAGAGGGCTCTCGCAGCTGCTTAGCAGCTACGCTCGGGCCCTAAAAACAAAGAAAAACCACTACAAGAACAACAGGGCCTACGCCCGGCTGCTCTGCAGCTGGCTCGGGCCCTAAAAAAAGAAAGAAAGAAGAAACAAAGAAAAACCACTTGGGGAATAATAGGGCTCTCGCAGCTGCTTAGCAGCTACGCTCGGGCCCTAAATATTAGGTTATAAAGACCATCCATCCTGCCTTGAATCACCAGTTCAGGCTGCTGCTAGTGGTCTAATGGTGTGGGGGATATTTTCTTGGCACACTTTGGGCCCTTTAAATTGAACATTATTTAAATGCCACAGTCTGTCTGGGTTTTGTTGTTGACCATGTCCATCCCTTTATGACCTCAGTGTACTCGTCTTCTCCAGCAGGATGATGCACCATGTCACAAAGCTCAAATAATGATAAATAATAATAACTTAGTTTTATATAGCGCCTAACCAAGGTCGATTTACAAAAGGAGATGGGGCTAGGGGATAGAGGAGAGAGGTGGGGAGGGGGTAGAAGTGGGGGTGGGGGTGGGGGGTGGTGTGGTTAAGGACCATAGGCTTCAGTGAATAGATGCGATTTCAGATGCTTTTTGAAAGTAGCCAGTGTGGGGGCCTGGCGGAGATGGAGGGGCAGACTGTTCCAAAGGGTGGGGACAGCAACACAGAAGGCTCTGTCACCAAAGGTCCATAGCCTGGTGCGGGGAATGACAAGCTGGTCCTTGCCAGAGGACCTCAGGGACCTTGATTGGGAGTATTGGGTAGTAGTATTGGGAGATTGGGAGATCGGAGAGGTACTGGGGAGCAAGAGCATGGAGGGATTTGTATGTGAGGAGTAGGATTTTAGAGGTGATGCGTAGCTTCACTGGGAGCCAGTGAAGCTGCTTGAGTGTGGGGGTAATGTGTAACCACCGCTTTGCACGTGTGAGGACCCTGGCAGCTGAGTTTTGGACACGCTGAAGTCTGTCCAGTGCTTTGGTGGGAAGACCAAAAAGGACACCGTTGCAGTAGTCCAGATGGGAGGAGATGAAAGCATGGATCAGAGTCTCTGCAACAGAGTCTGACAGCGATGGCCGGAGTCTGCAGATGTTTTTGATGTGGAAGAAGGCGGCTTTGATGGTGTTACTGATGTGGGCTTGGAGTGAAAGGTTACAGTCCAGGATAATGTGGTATCTGGAGTACTACACCAACATGCATTGGCTTGAGGTAATTTTTCAAGGATAGCCGGAGGCGACCAATTGTGGAATATGGGCTTGTGTTGTTCATTCTTCTCCTTAATGGTTCCGGGGACAGGATATCCTGGACAGGGCATATTCACAGTTCACAGGTCACAGGCCACACTATTGGGTTACTAAAATCCAGACGTTGACGAAAATTAGATTAGAGATGAAGAACGGATGTAGGAGGGCCTACATCCCTAACCATTTATAACAGGGTCACATACTCTGGTTGGGAGAGCTGGACATCATTGTCAGTCCTCTTCCAGCAACTGCAGTGCTGTTCTGATACTGGTGTTGTCTTTATAATAAGCTCCTCTTATACAAGCAAGCCAGTGTCACGAAGCCTCCTTCTGCATCTACACATCGAGGACAGCCCAGACACAACAATAATACCCAAGCTGCGCACTTCTCGGGAGGGCCTGATGGTACAGCCATCGACATTCAAAAGAATATCACCAACTTCCTTGGACAGAGATGGAGGGGCCACCACCATGAGCTCTGTTTTATCGTTGTTCAGTTTGAGTAGGTTGGTGGCCATCCATGTCTTTATTTCATGTAGGCAGTGAACTAGTGATAGGGGAGGGAGATGGGCAGAAGGTTTGGTGCTAATGTAGAGCTGGGTGTTGTCAGCATAGCAATGGAAACTAAGTCCATGTTTTCAGATGATCTGGCCAAGAGGGAGCATATAGATGGTGAACAGCAGGGGGCCAAGGACTGAGCCCTGGGGCACGCCGTGGTTGACTGGAGCTGGGGTTGAGTTAGAGTCCTTGATAGTGATGTATTGTGTCGTACTGGAGAGGTAGGAGTGAAACCAGGAGAGAGCGGAGTCAGAGAGGCCTAAGTGTTCATGGAGACGGTGAAGCAGGATGGTATGGGAGACTGTGTCAAAAGCTGCAGATAGGTCCAGGAGGATGAGGAGACTGATGAGGCCATTGTCTGCAGCTATGAGGAGGTCGTTCATGATCTTAATGAGAGCTGTTTCCGTGCTGTGGTTGGGTCGAAAGCCAGAGTAGTTCATGGTGGGACATTGTGGTGTTGTAGTTGGGCAGCCACTGCTCTTCCCAGAATCTTACTTAGGAAGGGTAGGTTGGAGATTGGGCGGTAATTTCCAGGGTCCAGGCCGGATTTTTTTAGGGTGGAAATGACCACAGCCATTTTAAAGCTGGAGGGCACCACACCAGATGTAAGGGAGGTGTTAATGATGTCGGTCATGGTAGGAAAGAGTGTGGGCAGACATGCCTTTACCAGGGCCGTGGGCATGGGGTCCAGTTTGCTAGAGGTGGTTTTAGCTTTTGACACAAGGTCCATGACCTGGTTATTGCTGAGTGGTGAGAATGAGGAGAGGGAGTACTTATGTGGATAGGCAGGAGAGGTTGAGTTGCAGTCCTTCAGGTGAAGGCAGGTAGACATGGAGCGCCAGTCTGACGGAGCTGCAGGTGAATGTCGTCCACTTTCTGCTAAAAGAAAGTTTGGAACTTACAGCAGAGTTCTGCGGCGTCTGATGGTTGGGGTGGATCTGGAGGGCGGAGGAGACAGTTAACAGTGGAGAAGAGCTGCTTTGGGTGATTCTGGTGTTTACTGACGAGAGTGGAGTAGTACAGGGTTCAGGGTTAATGCCCTGGAGAGAGCCTCTTTGTAATTCCCCACATGGTCTTTGTAGGCCTCTTGGTGTACAACTAGTCCAGATTTTTTGTACAGTCTTTCAAGCCGACGCCCAATTGCCTTCAGGAGGCGGAGCTCAGGAGTGAACCAAGGTGCAGGCTGGCTGAAAGTGTGGCCTTTGACATGTGTGGGACCATGCACATGCTGTGTTATGTTTAGACACTCAAGGAGAGATAAGAATTCAGTTAAGAAAGGGCAGCTATGTGAGTCCAAATGAATATTAAAATCGCCCAAAATAATGGTGGATGGGGACATGGGGCAGACAGTGGTGAGTAACTCAGAGAACTCAGAGAGAAACCCGCTGGTGGCTTTGGGAGGGCGGTAGACAAGCACAACTTGTAGCTGTGCAGGAGCAGGATAGAGGATAGAGGAGCAGAGATTCATCAGTTCTGTTGCAGAGTATCTGAAGAGAGCCATGCCGGGTGCGCACCTAGCTGGGCTGGGCGCTAAGCCACAGGTTTGCACTGCAGGGCGATTTCAAGTGCAGGTCCCACCTGGAAACAGCGACAACATTTATTTGTTTATTTAAAAGGATCCCCATTAGCTGACGCCAAGACGACAGCTAGTCTTCCTGGGGTCCAGACAATACATACAAGACACAAAGATAACAATCACAATTACTCACAATCTCAACAACACTGAAAAGACTTATTAAAATAAAAACAATAAATTAAGGAAAAGCAACATAGCCTTCATTTTTGTTACATGACAAAACCTTGCTCAATCAAGTAATCAAGATGATATTATGGTGTTGAAAAGAATTACATTCTTAGTCTCTTTTTAAAACCAGTTTTTCTCATAATTTCACGAACCACAACTGGAAGATTGTTCCAAAACACAGTTGACCTATAAAATACAGTCCTCTTCATAGAGTCAGATTTAGGTAGGGGTAAAGTAATCTGTCAGGCAGGATGGTGATGTTTTCATCTTTTTGCAGTGATCCAGTTATCTGCCTGCAGATAAGGGGAGATGCACTGTTGTACTCAATACCAGGGATTACCATGACAAGGTAACAAGCCTTCTAAGTGACACTGCCACCTATGAAGCTCTAAAACGGGATCCCACCAACAGCTACAAAAAGAAAGTTATCAGCATACTTTAACAGCTGGAAAAGGATGGAGTTATCGACCGCCCACCCTATTACCGGCTATACCCAGGGGAAGCTGTCCCGTGCATTTACGGATTACCTAAAATACACAAGGAAGGGGCCCCCCTTAGACCCATCATCAGCAGCATTAACTCAGTCACATACAAAGTGGCAAAACTCTTGGCCACCATCCTAACTCCTCTTGTCGGCCACACCACTCACCACATCAGAAACTCACAGGACTTTGCCGAGAAAGTCAAGGACATCAGGCTGGACCCAGATGAAACCATGGTTTCCTATGATGTCACATCACTTTTCACAAGTATTCCGACAACAGAGGCAGTCCAAGCAGTAAGACAACGCCTCTTACAGGACAGCACACTGGAAGTCAGAACCAACTTAACCCCTGATCCCATCTGCTCCTTATTGGACATCTGCCTCAGCACCACCTATTTCCAGTTCAGAGAACGTCATTACATGGAAACATGGATGCTCTATGGGCTCCCCGGTTTCTCCAATAGTGGCAAACCTGTACATGGAAGAGGTAGAAAGGAAGGCCCTAACCTCCTTCCATCTTTACCAAGCTGGAGAAACCTTCTCTAAACAGAGGGGGTGGACTCAGGCATAATCTCTCTGGCACTTACAATGCAGTTCTCAGCTCTCTCCCCAGGAAACTCCACAAACACTCACACCTGGGACCACATGACCCAGGTGTGGTCACATCACAGGGGTCGTTAACGACCCCTTCAGGTTAATGACTTAGGGGGGGACACACCCGGAGATGGGTTTCTACGACCCAACCCCCTCCCAGTCATTGTCTGTCCCCTTTCTCCAGTAAGATAAATATCTGCTCCTCACACTAGCAATTTAGAACTGAAGAAGCTTCTTGGATAAGAGGCAAAACGTCTTCTAAACTCTACACAGTCCAGTTGCCTGTTTTTAAGTCTTCAAGATTGTGGTTAAATCATTGTGAGAAAAGTAATCTTGCACTTGCTTAAATACAATCTTTTCCAATAATTTACTCAGAATAGGTAAAATGCTAATAGGCCTAATATTCGGACCACAGAAAACTGATTTGTGTCTTTGGGTAGAGGAATGATCTTGCCCTCCTTCCAACGTTTTGGACACACACCACTAATCAGACTTTTGTTAAATATGTGACAGATTGGTTTAGAAATATGTATAGCTGATAATTTCAACAGCCTACTATCCAAGTTGTCGATACCAGCAGACCCACCAACAGTCAAAGATTTCAACAAAATTTCCACCTGCACAACATTAACCTGATGAAATTCAAAATTACACAGTTTATCCTTCATAATAAATTTTTTTATCAGCTCATCGGAGTTGGAATCAACAGTGCAATCCATTTTCTCTCTAAGTTTAGAAACCTTATTAACAAAATAATCATTGAAATAATTTGCAATCTGTGTTGGCTTAGTCAAATAAACCCCATTCAATTCAACAAATGAAGAACAGGTAGATTTTTTCCCCATGATTTCGTCGAGTACATTCCACATTTTCTTACTATCAGTACCACTTTCAGAGATTCTCTTTTGAAAATATTTTTTTCTTTTTCACTCTATTCACCTTGGTCACATGATTCCTTAAAGTACAATAAAGTTTTCTGTCTCCGAGAGAGCCAGAATGAACAGCAACCTTTTTGGCCTCATCCCTTTGAGTCATCAAGTTCTTTAATTCAGTATCAACCCAAGGAGCACTCTTGGCTTTAACTGTAAATTTCTTTAACGGGGCATGATTGTTAACAACTCTCATAAAAAGATCCATAAATAAATTAAGGGAGGTATCCACATCATCAATGACACACACCACATCCCATTTAATATTATCCAGTTTATTTAGAAAATTCTCCTCATTACATGACCTATAAGTTCTTTTCATAATGATTTTAGGACATGCTCTAGGCAGCTTTGTTCTCCTGGAGACAGCAATGCAGTTGTGGTCACTGAAGCCAACTGTTACAGAAACGGGTGTTGAGCACATATCAGGATTATTAGTGACAGATGTCGATGGATGACCCAGAAAGCCGCAGCGATGTTGGTCTGAGAGACAAGGATCTGCCGCCGGTGGTGGCAGGGTTGCCTGTCCAACGGTAAGATTCCGGTTTGTTCCGTAGTAGCCAGCTGGATTCATCCAGGTAACGTTGGTAGTGCTTGATCACTGCTGGTCGCGCAGTGCAATTAAAGTTGTAATTGAAAAGTATGCGAGAATGGCAGAATTAGACTCCCGAAATGTATCAGGTGGATTATAAATAGTGAAATAGCTGGACATGAGAAGCGGCGACATGAACGCCAGCGTCCTCTCATGGCACAGGAAGTGCTCAAATAATCATTTCTTGAACACAACAATGAGTTTCCTGTCCTCCTGTGGCCTCCATAGTCCCTTGATCTCAGTCCAATGGAGCACCTTAGGGATGTAGTGGGATGGGGATTTAGGTGACTTAGAACGTGGCATGGTTGTTGGTGTGAGATGTTTCACATTTTTTGCATCATTGATATGCAGCTGATAAATTTGCAGCACCTGGGTGATGCCACGAAGAATTAAGGCAGTTCTGAAGGCAAAAGGGGGGTTCAACCCAGTACTAGCAAGGTGTACCTAATGAAGTGGCCAGTAAGTGTAAAGGACCATTCTCCACTCCCTGATATTGCCTCTACACTACTGCCTTGCTAGCTGTCTCAAGCCCCATTTCTGTACCCTTTTGTGGAATGCAGGGAGTGTCAATGAAATTGCAATAGCTGTAGTGCTACGTATTGATCGTAGGTTGTCTGTGGCTGCAATCAATTACCTGTAGATATAACTGGGGACCAGTGGCAGCGCAATCAGCACAATCCTGTAAGGCTTTTACAATGTGCTTTGCACATAGGCTTGCCATTAACAGATGATTGCTTAGGCTGTGAAACACTCGATAACAGATCCAAAGGCGTTCATAATGATCAAAGTTACTTCAGCGCTTTGGCAAGAGTTTCACACTGCTAAATGTCACTGTGCTTCTTAAAGCACACAACATATTCTGTGAAGTCTAATCATTACATTGACAAAATTCTTCAGGTAATGAGCAGAAATAATGTGCCAGTATTTGGGATGGTGTTAAAGATTAACCAGAAATTTAAAAGTTTAGTTGTTACACAACACTTGGCCCAAAACTTAAGGCTTCAGAAAATCTCATCAAAATTTCACAAGTTTATTTCCACTGAAGAGCGCATGTCAATGTGAAAGCCACATAGAGGCTTTAAAGAAGTAAGATCTCTCAATTTCAGAGACCGATAATCTTGTGTCATCTGTGTGAGGGTGTAATGAGATGTGATATCTTCAAAGAATGGACTCTGAGGGGAGCACATAAAGAAGAGAAAGGACAGGGCCAAAAATAGAACCCTGACATTGTGAAGGATACAGTGCAACAAGAGTGAAAGAAAAGCTTATGCTTGACAAGTAAGACTAGAACCATTCAAAAGCAGTAACTTTAATGCCAACAGAGTGCTCCAGGCAGGAAATTAGGATGCTTTGGTCTAGTGCCGAATGCAGCCTGAGATCTAAGAGCATAAGAATGATGAAGCCTCCAGAGTCAGTAGCAAATGACTGTGTTTTAAAAATTTAAAAAGTGCAGCTCAGACAGGCTTTAAAACCAGACAGGAATGCATCAAGATTGTATGTTTTAGTAAGATTGGAATAGTAAACTTTTTATAAGCACTGGGGTTAAGAACTCTGATTAACAGCTGCACAATTGCAGACCAACAAAAAGCTGACACCACTATTGAAGCAAACCCTTTATTCAGAACTATTAAGACTTTGCCTAACAGTGTGGAATTTTTTTTCTTTCAATAATATAAGAGGGACAACATCTGTGAAATTTGTGTGTTATTAGTAATTCAAAAGAAAGGGCAGAAAAATCTGCTCAAACTGGTCTGGAAAAAAGCATTAAAAGTGACAGTGATGAATGAATCAGAATAAAGGTGCTGAGATATAAACTCTAATGGCTTTAATCCCATCAACAAAAACCATTAAAAAATATTTTTTCAAAAGTTACTGGACGCCCCAAGATGGACTAGTTAGGTGGTATTAAGAATGTGAATACAGTAGTAAAGTAAGCCTCAACACTCAGGAGACATACATATCTGCCAGAATGTTACGTCCATTGACAGGGGAAGTAAAGTTTATAGTGTCACCTGTCACCTGGGACCTGTCATTCATGTGAACATTTTTTTTCCTTGAAGTCAATGTGTTGGAAGAAGAAAAAGGGGGCAAGGATAAGGGCTACTTTGGCAGGGACCAATCTGTAAATATTTGTGTAAGCCAGATAACTTGCTAGAAGTTCACAATTTGTTAGAAAAAAAAAAAAAAAAAAAAGAGATCAAATAATTGGGCTGGAATCAATGAGTTACATAGATGAATTGATGTCAAGTAATCAAATCCAAGTAGAGCTTCCCAAAGACTGCTGCTCTTGTGAGGTGTACCCTGGCTGCAGAGGTCAGTATCGATCAAAGGTAGCCCAAAGACAATACAAGACAGGCCCATGGATGGTCAAGACAGCAATATATGTGGGGAGGGAAGAATAGCCTTATGAGTCCAGTTCAACAGAGCTACCAGAGCTTCAACTGCTGAAAGAGCTGTTGGTTCTGATAAAAAGGTGTACACACAGTGCATCACAGTTTGTTGTGTATGAGGCTATGTAGTGCTGATCTTTGTTCATCACCAAAAGGACCAATAATGGGTATGTGAAATTTTAAAGTGAGCTACAGAGCAATGGAGGAAGGTGGTCTGGTGGAACATGTACAGTTCCAAGTCCATGGACTTGGTCTCTAAATTCCCTAAATCTCAAACCAAACAATCATCTGCAGGGTGTGCTGGAAAACCAAGGCAGATCAAGTCGGATGGAGGCTCCACCTCACAACTCTCAGGACCTCTGGGAAGACCTGCTAGTGTGTTGGTGCCAGGTCCAGGGGCTTCATTTATCAACACTTGCATGGAACTCATACCAGAAACGAGCGCAAGCAAGGTCCGTCACGCTGAAAAAAAAATCCGTATGTATCAATGTGTGTGGGCGCCGAAAGCCACGTGTGTTTCCTTGATAAATCCCAATCAGCGTGGAATTGAGCGCAGATGTCAGAGTGACTGGGCCCGCCCCCGTTATGCCCTCCTATAAATATGCAGATTTATTTAAATAGGGTCTCCCTGTCCTCGCACGCAGACAAAATGACAAGAAAAACGAAATTTATGGCGTGCGAGGTGGAGGTGCTGGTGGCGGAGGTGGAGGAGCCACAGCGTGTTTTGTTTGGCAGCCTGTCCAGTGGCGTCAGTGCAAAACGAAAACGCTTGGAGTGGGAGAAACTTTGTCAGAGGGTGGCCAGGGTTCTCGGGTTCCGAGACACGCACCCCCGCGGAAATTAAAAAAAAGTGGTCGGACCTCAAGGTGGAGGTCAAGCGGCGTACAGCTGCCCTCCGGAGGAGTACCGGCCAGACAGGTGGGGGTCCGGGGGAGGAGACCCACACGCCGTTTGAGCAGCGGGTGGTGGCGATTATGGGGGGCGCCTCTGTGGGGGGGATTGTTGCCCCTACCCGCGGCGACTCAGACAGCCTGCCAGAGGGTAAGTGGCGTGTCACACAAATGTCCACATGCTTTGCCATAGATGTAAACGCAACAGATACACAGAAGCAGGAATTGAAATGAACCACTATTTTTATTGTGTCACAGAAATCAATGTGTTGGCCGTGTCGCCAGCTTGCGGAACCCCGGCCCGCGGTAGCCCGTCCGCCGGCTCGGAGTCGTCGGCCAGGACCAGTGGCATTCGGGCCACCCCAGCCCCAGCACCAGCGTGCTGACAAGCGGTGGAGCGTCCACCAGCCGCGGTGCTTTCACTGGACCACCCGGACCCATTGGAAGGGTCCTCACGGAGGGGGTCCTGCAATCGCAGGAAGAAATCATCAGGGGGATCGCGGGGATCAACGAGCGGCTGGACCAGCTCGTAAATGTCCTCGAGTGTCTGGTGGAGAAAATAAATTAATTTGGCTCATTGAACTGTGTATTCACTTCTTACCCATTCACAATGTGGCGATGAGATTCTCCCACGTGAGGATGGGGGCCCGGCAGGGATCAGCTCGCATCCCTCCGTCTGCTGCTGGTTCGTCATGTGGGGCGACGTGCTGCTCGTCCACGGAGATGTGGTGCAGGTCCACTGCGATGTGTGAACGCTGTCACATATTGAGTCACCAAACACCGCCACACAGCGTCGCCAAAGTGCCGTCAACGCAAGTATTGGCTCAACGCCAACTTCTACACCACCTCCTCACTTTGCGTGGATTTGCGCTGGAACCGACGCTCGTGTCGCGATGATAAATCTGGACGTGTGCACCGATCTTGGCGAACGCAAGGTTTTCTGGCGCCGCCAGCATTGATACATGAGGCCCCAGGTTGCTGTGTTCAAGGAGTACAATTTGAGTCAGCATTATGAGACAAAACACGCAGAGAAATACAGACACTTGGCGGAGGCTGAGAGAGCGCAAATTTCAGAAGACTTGAAGCCAAAGCTAGCAAAACAACAAGACTATTTCACCAAGCTATACACAGCCCGGGATGCAGCGACCAAGACCAGCTTTGTAATACCCCCAAATCGCTAAAAACGGTAAGCCATTCTCGGATGGTGAGTTTGTGAAGGGGTGCTTGAGGAGAGCTGTGATGTCCGTGACATTGCCCAGTTACTGGTATTTCTCCAAAGAATAAGGCAGGACTTCAAGATTACAGAGGAGCTGGCAGCATTGAGGTCAATAAAAGGAAAGACAACGGGGAGCGATCTGTTCAAGGAGGTAGATGCATGCATGGTCAAGCTTGGACTAAAATGGGACAAACTGGTAGGTGTCACTACTGATGGTTGTCCGAATTTGACGGGGAAAAATGTCGGACTTTTAAAAAAGATCCAAGATAAAGTGACTGAACTCGGCTCAGAGCATAAGTTGGTGTTGATACAATGTATTATACATCAGCATGCGTTGTGCAGGTCTGTGCTAAAACTTCACCATGTTATTTAAGTTGTAACCAAAACGGTTAACTTTATCAGGGCACGAGCATTAAATCACAGGCAGTTTGTTGCACTTTTAGAGGAGCATGAGAATGAACATGGTGACATCAGGTACCACACAGCTGTCAGATGGCTCAGTCTAGGCAAAGTGCTAAAAAGATTTTGGGACCTGAAAACAGAGATTCAAGAGTTTTGTAAAAACATTGAGGATGAAATGCACCTGGTTTCCTCTCCCTTTACCTGCAGAGTAGATAATGCACCCAGTGACGTTCAGCTAGAGCTCATTGACCTGGCAGAGCACTTTAAGTCAGCATCACTGCTGGAGTTCTACTCATCTCTCAAGGAGGAGAACTTTCCAAACATGAGGAGACATGCTCAGAAGATGTTGGTTCTGTTTGGATCTACCTACATATGTGAACAAACATTCTCAGTAATTAAGTTTACCAAATCCAGGTCCAGATCCTCTCTTACTGATGATCATCTGTCAGCTGTACTTCGCATCTCCACCTCAGACATTCAGCCTGACTTTGATGCACTTGTTAAAGCCCAGCAAAGGCTAGATTTCTCTCACTGAACAAGAAAAGAATACTGAAATGTGTTCATTTTTACTTTTTGCCTGCACAGTTTTACAATCTGTGAAAAGAAAAAATGTGACATATCTTGTTAATGATATTTGGCATTGTGCTGTTTTGATAGAAAGAAGTGTTTTAAGGGAAATGTAATTAAAAAAAGAGTTACAAATGTTTCATGTTTACCATTGTTTCGAAAACTGCACTGAAGAAAATAATTTTTTTTGTGAAAAAAAACCCCTCACTTTCTCATTACCTAATAATAATACAGACACTTACCAGCTAGTGTAAACAATGCTATTTACTGCTTTCAATTTATATTTAAAATTTATACGTAGAATAGAGTTTAAACTTTTGGCCCGGCCCTCCACAATGTTTTCTGCTTCTCATTTGGCCCCTTGGGAAAAATAATTGCCCACCCCTGCTATAGAGTCTATTATGACCAAAAAAAGGAAGTGGGTATATTCTGTATACCTGTATATCCCCTGCACTACATTATAGCATTAAGTATATCAGTCAGGTTAAAAGCTTTGTATACAGTTAAGCTAATTTTCCACTTTTGGCTCATTAATAAAACAATGGACTGTAATTAAGCCTACAGCAGTGAAAACTGATGCGGGTACAATTGTCCAACCAAACGTTAATGGTATGATGTAAGCCTTGATAACTACAATATAAATTATAAAAAGAATAGATAAAAAGGTCTACAGCTAGCTATTAAGCACCGAACTTTTGCTTACCACCGTAACCCATCACTGCGATGATGTGTCTGAAGATCCATGCTTCTGCAGCACTTCGGGCATTTCATCCTCCTCCTCAGGATGACCCATTTCTGCATCCATCTAACTATTTAGGGCCCGAGCCAGCTGCAGAGCAGCCGGGCGTAGAGCCCTATTATTCCTGTATGGGTTCTTCTTTCTTTCTTTCTTTCTTTCTTTCTTTCTTTAGGGCCCGAGCGTAGCTGCTAAGCAGCTGCGAGAGCCCTCTTGTTCCTGCATGGGTTCTTCTTTTGTTATTATTTTTCCTCCGCTTTAAACTGGAAAATGGCCCACTTCCCACTGGCGAAAACTCATGAAATTTGGCAGGACGACCGGGCCTGGTGAAAAATTCGATATTCTGAAGTCGCTCAAACAATAAAATGCAAAATGACTCCAAAGCGCCCCCTAAGGTGAAAATTCATATGATTGAGTGTCACGCCTGTACGCTTTGTCAAAATGACACAAATTTGACACACACGTGTATCTCAATAAGATCTACAAAAAAGTCAATGCAGGCGTATCTGTCAAATGTACGGTTAAAGGGCTATTTAGCATTTTTTGCCGATCCGCACACATTGGAATTTCGCTAACTCCTCCGAAGGCTCTCTTTCCACCGGCACCACATTTGCTCAGGCCAATCTACACCCCATGGCCATTCAAATTTGTACAAATCATGAAGCTGCACCCCACGGTTAAGGTTCTAGGGGGCGCCAAAGATGACCCAAATATCGCCATTTTTAAAAGTCTTAAAACTTTTTATTTTTGTCCTCACTGGCCTCCAAGTTCTCTAGGATGATGCAATGTCCAGCCATCAACACATTTGTGAAGGAATTTTTACTCCCCAAAAGAGCGTCCCCCCATGGCAGGACAAAAAAGTCAATTTTTTTCTTGTCTCCTAAGGTGAAAATACACATTGTTGAGATTCACACCTCTACGCTTTGTCATATTGACACAAAAATTGACACACACGTGTATCTCAATAAGATCTACGAAAAAGTCAATGGGCACGTATCTGTAAAATGTACGGTTAAAGGGCTATTTTGCATTTTTTGGCGATTCGCACACATTGGAATGTGGCTAACTCCTCCTAGAGCTTTCGTTTAACCGACACCAAATTTGCTCAGGCCAATCTACACCCCATCACTTTTTATTTTTGTCCTCACTGGCCTCCAAGTTTTCTAGGATGATGCAATGTCCAGCCATCAACACATTTGTGAAGGAATTTTTACTCCTTAAAAGAGCGCCCCCCCATGGCAGGAGAAAAAAATCCATTTTTTCTTGTCCCATAAGGTGAAAATACACATTGTTCAGTGTCACGCCTGTACGCTTTGTCTTATTGACACAAAATTTTACAATCACGTGTATCTCAATAAGATCTACGAAGAAGTCAATGCGCACGTATCTGTAAAATGTACGGTTAAAGGGCTATTTTGCATTTTGTGCCGATTCGCACACATTGGAATGCGGCTAACTCCTCCTAAAGCTTTCGTCCCACCGACACCAAATTTGCTCAGGCCAATCTACACCCCATGGCCATTCAAAGTTGTACAAATCATGACGCTGCACCCCACGGTTTACGTTCAAGGGGCCGCCAAAGATGACCCAAATATCCACATTTTCAAAAGTCAACTTTTTATTCTTGTCCTCACTGGCCTCCAAGTTTTCTAGGATGATGCAATGTCCAGCCATCAACACATTTGTGAAGGAATTTTTTCTCCCCAAAAGAGCACCCCCCCATGGCAGGAGACAAAGTCAAGTTTTTCCTGCCCATGGCTCAATGGCTCAAACACATCGCTCTCTCTGCAAAACCGAAAGGAGGAGCAACTTGCCATTTGGATATATCCTAGCTGTGTTTGTGCCCTCACTAATGTTCCAGACTTTTTTCAAGTAGGACATGAAGTTTGTCTGCAGCGAGCGTTTTGGTAGAAACTGCGCCTCCCATTCATTATAATGGTAAATAACCACAGACAAGTGCGCACACCATCTTTGGACCTTGAGTGTGACCCGAGCCAGCTGCAGAGCAGCCGGGCGTAAAGCCCTATTATTCCTCTATGGGTTCTTCTTTAGGGCATGTCTCTGTTCTAGCTCCAAGGTGAATCTTCACTGCTCATGTTCTCCTCAGAAGCACTCACCTCACTCCCCTCAGGTTACTGTACACATGCACCAACTGCCTGCTTCAGGTTTGGATGGAGCTTCATGGTTGTCTTTTGGAGAAATGACCAGTCAAGTTGTGTTTGAAATTTGATTTTTTTCAGGGGCAAAAGGAGCCTCTGCATTCTTGTCAAATATGTAAATAGCATGTTTTTGCAGGTGCTAAAAACCAGACTCTGAGTGTGTGTGTGTGTGTGTGTGTGTGTGTGCGTGTGTGTGTGTCTGTGTGTGCGTTCAAGTCACATGACATATTTAACCGGATGTAGCTACAAGACGGAGCCTCGTTGATTCTCCGTTTCAACCTATCTTAAAAGTGAGGACCTCAAACTATATACCAGTTTTTAAATTGTGTTGATAGGCCAAATAAAACCAGAGTTATGATAAATTATGTCTGCGATACTTTTTTTCTGCTTATTTTGATCACGTTCGGCGCTCAATCGCGCTGTATGAGACAGGAAAACATAGCATGCAGACATTAGCGACAGCTCTTACAGGCGGAAAAGACTTGCCAAAAGAAAAGAAAAAAACACACCACAACATCTCTCCTATTGGTGGAAAACTTCACCACAACAACCAATCCAAAATTATATGGTGACTGATTGACACGGGACGGGCGCTCACGTTCTTCCTGCAACTTGAGAAGGGAGGGAGGGACTCTCAGCAGGGATTTGTCCCACAGTGAAGGCAGGATGATCGTCAATCAACCGGGGGGTGGAGGGGCGATGGAAGCAGGGCTCAGGGTGCACAAGATAACAGGCTTTATCAGGGAGACATGAAACGTAGGGTGAATTTTGAGGGATGAAGGAAGTTTTAATCTTACCGCTGAAGGGTTGATAATTTTCTGGATAGGGAAGGGACCAATGAAGCCGGGACGATAACCAGACCATCTGACCAGGACGATAGTCTGGTGCTGGAGAGTGGTGAACATCAGCCAGCCCAATGTGCTCCCTCACTGACGGGACGGCCACGGGATGCTCCTGTTCAGGAAACAGGGGGGGCTGGTACCCAAAAGGGCACGTGAAGGAAGACATACCTGTGGCCGAGGAGGTGAGGGAGTTATGGGCGTACTGGAACCACAGGAGGTGAGTACTCCAGGACGCTGGATGATGGGCCGCCTCACACCGCAAAGCCGACTCGAGGTTTTGATTGGCCCGCTCCGTCTGGCCGTTGGTCTGCGGGTGGTAGCCTGAGGAGAGGCTAGCTGCTGCGCCCACTGCCTGGCAGAAAGCTTTCCAGACCTGGGAGGAGAACTCGGGACCACGATCTGACACTATGTCAAGGGGGATACCATGTAGTTGGAACACATGAGATACTAGGAGGTTAGCAGTTTCTAGAGCAGACAGGAGCTTGGGTAATGGGACATAATGCACAAATTTGGAAAATCTGTCAATGATGGTGAGTATGACTGTGTTACCTTCAGAAGGGGGAAGACCAGTGACGAAATCTAGGGCTATGTGAGACCAGGGGCGTGAGGGCACAGGCAGAGGATGCAGCAAGCCAGCCGGACGTTGGTAGGAGGCTTTGCCCCGGGCACAGACGAGGCAGGCAGCAACAAACGCCCGTACGTCCCGGACCATCCCCGGCCACCAGAACCACTGCTGAAGAAATTGGAGGGTGCGTTGAAATCTGGGGTGACAGGTGAGTTTGGAGGAGTGCCCCCACTTTAGGACCTGGGAACGTGCAACCTCAGGGACGAATTTTCTGTCAGGAGGGCCGGTTCCCGGGTCCGGGTGGTTCTGGAGGGCCTGGTCCACAATGGTGTCGATCTCCCGAGGCGGAGCCGACGACACAGGAGGCAGGGAGGATGGTGTTCGGTTTGCTGGGGTCCAAGGTAGCAGAGGAATGGATCCGAGATAGGGCGTCAGGTTTGAGGTTGCGGGAGCCGGGAC